ATGCAAGGATTAAAATGCATAAAAATTAAGAGGGTTTACCATATCAAGACAAATAGCCATACTGAGTCATGCAGCTATCTCCAATCCCTAAGCCATAAATTTGCATATAAAACATAATAAATTTGTTCTCATTAGCTAAAGGAGTAAGTTTTTGGATCCATCAAGCTCCAAAACAAAGAGCTTTATTTGAACTGAAATGATAAAATATTTCTTGAAAATATCTTCAACTGGGTTACTGAGCCATAACACTAAAAGGAAGAGGAGACTCAATAACTTCATGAAGTAATGAACCTTTATCAATGTAGAACAGTGGAAAACCATCGGGACAGCTACTCATGAACTCCATATTTATTTTTCAAACTTCATTAAATACTTTGAGCTGGATTTCTATTGAACAGAGTGCTATTCGACGCTGCAATAGGAGATTAGCAGCTACACAAGTTTCTGCTACTGCCCGCATTCCAAGTCTAAAAAGATAATGAACTTTTTCTGTTTTTCACTTATCAATCAAAACTGTATCTATGTGCAATATGCAATTTGATAACATATCCGTTGTACTTGCCTTGGCAGCCTATGTTCTATTTTGATGCAATTATTTCTCTCATTTAGAGCCCAACTAATGATGATGATGATTAGGTCTTCCATCAAAATCCTATTTGAAAAGAATCTCCACAAATGAAAGGCCCCTCTAGAGCATAATTTAAAAAGCTTACCCAAATTGAGAATAAAAATGTAGGCCATAAAGGAGACCTAAAAGACCACAGCTTTTTTAGCTAAAGTGAGGATGTCCCTTGGCCACTACAAAAGGAATTTCTAACCCTTTTGTAAGTCATGGTTATAAAGAGTGAATCTAAACTTCTTGTTTCTGAATAAACCACGTCCACAGCTACTGGTTATACATCATTTGACACAGATTCAACCAAAAGATTACGATAATGACAGGGCTTGGCTCTTCATGTGGAGCATGCAAATTCCTGAGGAGAAAATGTACGAGTGGATGTGTCTTTGCACCTTACTTTTGTTATGACCAGGCCACAACCCACTTTGCAGCAGTGCACAAGGTGTTTGGTGCAAGCAATGTTTCGAAGCTACTATTACACTTACCTGTACAGAAAAGAAGTGATGCTGCTATCACCATATCTTACGAAGCACTGGCTAGAATGAGGGACCCAATATATGGTTGTGTTGCTCAAATCTTTGCACTTCAACAACAGGTTACCAAGTGTCACCTAACCTCTTTAGAACCTGAAAAATCATGCTGAAAAACTTTAGAAAATCAGTTTGTCAACAAAAATTTCTTTACTTATTTTGCCTTGCCATGCAGGTAGCAAGACTACAAGAGGAGATAGAAATTCTTGGGACCCAAATGGCAAACTTTGTGGTTGCTGCCCCTAATGGCATAAGCACTCAAGCAACTACCTATCAAAATAACAAGTCACAATTTGGTTCACCATATCCACATGAGACCATGAACACAATGCATTGTCATCAAGCTGCATCAGTCAACCATACAGGATACACAACTGGAAACCAAACTTTTGATAGCCAAATGAATGGACAGCTGCCTCCATATGCATGGGATGATGAAAACTTCCTCTGTGACTCTTACACAAACCCATTTACAAGAAGCACCGAAGAAGTGGATCCAGAAATATTTGCGAATTATCTATGGTTGGATAGTAGCAACAATACCATAAACTTGGAAGGTATAAATTGGGAATAATGTCAGGAAGAAATGAACTATTTTTGTTGCATTCATCTGGGAATTTAAACTTAGTTTAACTACGAGAGAATAAGAACATTGTTACAATATTATGGAAATTGAAATCCAAGAGAATTTCAAATAGAACTGAAATAATACACAACAAATTTCATCAAGATTAATTTTGACGTAATTTAAAATGTATTAACTCGATTCTACTCGAAATTCTCAAGGAATTTAATTTTTTATCATTTTGTAAGGAAATTTCATCTTCGCATAGTTGGAAAAGGTAGATATCTAAGTGAATTCCACGCAAATAGTTCATTCACTCCAAACATAGCCCAAGTTCTTTTTTTTTCAATTAGGGATACCTCATATAAGAAGAGATCTCCTCTGGTTCCACTCAAGTTTTGCACCAGCCATTCTGTGATATCTGTACATTGCCGTGCTTCTGTCTGTAATTATATGAATGTCCAAATACCCATCATGTGCCTACATAAACTATTAAGCTCACAACAGCACTAGCTTGCATAAATTATATGCAGCCAGAACATTTAATATATGACCATTTGGACCATGGTCATGTCAATCAGTCAATTACAGTTATAAATTACGAAAAAAGAAGAGTAAACAAAGACGAAAAGTTATGGATGATTAACATTTCAAGAGTTCTTAATGGCCCTTAAACAAGTATCTCTGAGTAGTGTTATCAAAAACAAAACAAAAACCACTTAATGCTGTTAATTAAGGTGATTGATGAAGTGTCTAGGTCTAGGAGAATCAAGAATCATATAAAAGACAAAGTATCTACAAGTTAGAAGTACAACAGCACATCTAGAATGAAATATCCATAGACATGTATGCTTGAGTAACATAGATTAATACCCACACCTTCCCCTAAATGTACTCAGGTTTGGCCAACTATTTCCTGTCACGGGTTTTACTAAGATATCTGGAGATGGTTCATCGAACTGCAATTGCATTCTACACCATCATCTAGTTAGCAGGTTTAACAATGCCGCCAGCACAGGAAATTACTTCTACAAACTGAGGAGAAACTCTAATGGCATGTTTGGTTCAATTCCTATTCTGTTCCTAATTTGTTCCAAGCTTAGTTTTAGATCAGCATTATCATGTAGAAATAGAACATAATTTTCATGTTTGACTTATTTCCACTTCCACTTTGAACTCTTTGGAAGTGGGCTCTTATTCATACTTCTCAAAGTGAGAATTGAAATTCCACCTGCCAAGAAAATCGAAATGGGGAAAGGAGGTTAATTAATAATAAAATCACATTGTAAATAAAATTGTCTACAAATTAGTCAGAATACAATGAGAATTGAATAAGCAAAAAACTTAAGAGTTGAATACTAACAACATACAACAGCATCCTCAAACTTCAGGAACTCTTTCAGTTTCCATGGTTGTTTTGGTGAAATCAAGCATTTGGTTGTCAATTCAATAATAAGAAAGTTTAATTGACTTTTAAAGATAGAGGATCCAAACCAAAAATCAATACAAACCAGTGAAATCTTCATTTGCCAAGTATGGTCTCCTAGGATCATGGTTTGTGTAAACTCCAATAATATGTAGTAATTTACTCTGTTCCATGCCATTGCCAATTTAGTCCTATCTGAACTGAGGACAAAAGATATCAAACCATCTACACTAAAAGAATTACCAGTCCTTCCGTTGCTGGCACAACTCTGGATTGCAGAAGGAACTCAACCTAAAGCGAAAGACACCAATTTACGCGAATAAATATTATAATTTTTAGAGCTCTCTCAAACCTGGAAAACCAAGATATATTATAATTTGGAAAACAATTAAAATATAAAAGCTTTTAAACATCTTGGGCAGGAAGTTTGACAAGCAAAATACCATAGCATTGCAGCGAAACTTACAAACGAA